GGGTGGGATTCCTGCTTGAGCCATGAGGGGAAGGGTAGGGCAGGGGGAAGCCAGGCAGATCCTGCTGTGCCTGCAAGTCTCTGCCAGAGCTGGAGCCAGGGAACAGAGGGGAGGGGCCAGCCCTGCTGTAAAGTAGAGAGAGCCCCACCTAGGCCAGAGAGCATGCGGAGATGCTGGGGGTGTCTGCTTTATCTTAAGCCAGCTAGGGGTTTGAGATAGACATTGCATAAGCCGGTTTGAGCCAAGTCAGTTAAGTTTGATACTACATTCAACCAGGGTTATCTCAAACCAGTTTCAGCCATTATCAGACTGGTTTGTGTGTACTGAACATCTGTTCTGTTACAGGTTTAAACCTGCTTCTGATCACTTAAACCAGTATGTGTGTAATGTCTGTCCTCAGCCTAATAGTTGCACAGGCTCAGGACCTTTCACACAGTTTATAGCTTTTTAATCAGCCTTATTTCCCCATACTAGCAGTGCCTTCCCAGGTGCCATCCATGGTCTCCTTCCACACCTTCATCCACAATCTGAGCCTCTGGTATTAAACAGAAACAGAAATAAGCATGCAAAGCAAACCACTTAACTCACATATGTAGTTACAGGCAGTCTTCTCTCATTCCATGCATTGTAGAGCTCCTTCTTTGAAGCTGGCAAGGGCCAGACTGACCCTTTTAGACCTCGTCAGCCTCTTCTCCATCCATCCTGTTAATTATTGCCTGTGGCCTTGCCACCACTGAGCTCTGAGATCTGATTGCACTTCCAACACCTGTGGGAGAACAGCTGCTTCTCTTGGAGTCTCTGAAGTCCCAGCAGCCTTTATTCTGTCCTGTAACCAGACTGCAGCTCTCTGATCCCGTCCTCCTCAGTAATAGGGTAGGGTCCCCTTTACCCGAGGGATATTTCCTGACCTTCACATCAAACATAATACAACACTTGTGTGACAAGGTGGGCCTCCCGGGGGCCGATCTCCACGGCCCGCCCCGCCCCCTGTCTCTGTGGGCAACTGCCTGCCTGTCTACTGCCTGCCTGTCTCCCCCGCCACGCCTTTGATGATAATTAGTTCAATTAAGATGTTAATTAAGCAGGAAGCTACCCATTTTAATGCCCCGATGCCAGGGGGCGCTCTGCGGCTCCAACCTCCCCTAATACTGCAGCCCAAGCCTCACAGATGGCATCTTGATATTCATATCCTCACCAGCCCCACACTGGGCCCCAGAATCATCCTACATGACCCCTCTACAATCGTCTCTTCTCAGGCGGCCACTCCGCCATCATCCGGGCTACCTAGCCCCCCCGAAGCTATGTTTCCCTCTCAGGTGTGGTCCCCCCGGAACCTTCAGCCACTTGCCCTGGCCCACCTCCAGGCCAGTCGGGACCCCTGGCCCCCAGCTCTTGGGTGTCCCTCATGGTGGGCCCCCAGCCCTTTTGACTACCGTAGTCCTGGCCCCAGCTTGGGCCAGTAGAGGGTACTCTCCCCTTCGGGCTGGGGCTCTCTAGCCACTCACTCTGTCACTGGGCCTCACTGTGCCACTACTCCCCATCCTCTCAGGGGCAACCGTAGCACCACGCCCACATCACTCCCACTCTCAGGGTCCACCCTCTCTGGGCCCCTCCAACAAACACTAGGGTAACCCACCCAGTGGTGGTGGGAGCTAGGGGTTAAGGCGCCCTGACCCACCTTTCACCGGGGTGATAACTGGCCTGGCATTTCCTGGGGGCTCCCACACCACTGAGAGCCCCACCAGACCACCCACTCCTGGCAGGGTGCAGTTTCAGGT